TGAGGCAAATTCTGAGTCATGAGTTTATTGGATTAAGGGTCTGACTTTTTTTCTTTTCTTTCTTTTTTTTTTTTTTTTTTTTTTTGGTTTTGAATGCCTGTAACTGTATTGCTTACCAAAGGATGGTAACAGTTTACTCCACTGCCAGCAAGATATGCCTGCACCAGCCTCACCATGGGCTTGCCAGCATTGTTGGTGGTCATTTTGTTAAATCAAAAAGTGTAGCTGGGAGGGTATAGCTCAAGTGGTAGAGCACATGCTTACCATGCACGAGGTCCTGGGTTCAATCCCCAGTGCCTCCTCTAAAAATGAATAAGTAAACCTAATTACTGCCCCCAAAAAGTTTTTTTTAATTAAAAAAAATGTTAAACATGATCTATGGATTGTCTTCAAGTTTCATTTCTAGTGACTTTGAATATTTTTCCATCTATTAATTGTATTGTTCTTCCATTTCAGTATAATGTCCACACATCCTTTGTCTAAATTTGGAGTCTTTTGTTAAGTGTGAATTTTTATATGTCATAGATAGTATTTACCCTTTCTCATAATTGCTGTGCCTGCAGGTGGCTTATCATGTTTGTGTGTTTCTTTTTAATTTTAATGTTACTTTTAATTGTATGTGAATTTTAAAACTTTTGATCTGTTTTATATTGATATGTTTGTACTTCGAATTGTTTCTTCCTATTGGCTTAAAAGTGAAGGAGATTAACATAGGCCTGAAATGCCCTATTCTTGTGTGCATGCTTGTATACATGTAGCCTTTAAAATTTAGAATATTTCGACTGGTTTTAATGTATTATTCTGTTCCTCTTAGATGGCAAACCAGCTTTCTCAACACTTAAATAATTCTAGCTTTCCCCCTTGTTTTAAGAAGTTGATGTTTTTACAAACACATGCTTTCTATTTGCCACATAAATACTTTATTCTGTTTTAGTAAGTTTTGGAGTTGAGACAGTTTGAGGACTTGGAATTAAATTTTTCTGGTAATTGTTTTCTATGCAAAACCAAAAAATGGCTTTTGGAGATTCCTCTCAGTTGTGGTAATTAGTATTTGTGAACAGTTTATCCATCCTCTCTTAGAAAGCTAAGATTCTTAGTCTCTGTGTTTGTGTTTGAAGGTGAATGGTCTTGGTGTTCATTGAATTCGTTAGTTGGTAGAGAGCTAAGTTCTGCCTTCCTCTGATGTGACTCGGGTTAGCAAATAAGGTGAGAAGTCAGGGTCTACTTTGGAATCATTTCGACTAACTTTTGAGTCAGATCTGGTACTAACTTCAGCACCCCGGCCCTCACTGCCTTTGGCGTTCTTTGTAAATGTGGGTAACACCTCAGGCTGGTGGCTGGGTAGCATTCATCAGTCTTTTCTCCATTGAGGTTTTGAAGCTGCCAAGCCAGACCTCAGATGCTCGGCATTGGCCTCACTCCCCCGAAGTCCACAGCCATCAGGCCCTGTGTTGGAGGATGTGGCTTAGGCTGGGGTCCAGACAAGTCTTCCCACTACCTCCTTCTATTTAAATTCTGGGACTTGCCTATGTGGAGCCCTGGACCTCCTGGTGATGCTGAAGTTCAGGACCTGTTTCTCCACCGCCTGATCCCAGAATAGAGCGAGCAGGTCAAGAGCAAGAGGCAGCCTTTCGTCTCTTTCGCTCCTTAGGTGAGGAAGGAGCTCTCCCCACCTCCTGGTCAGTTAAGTGCCTTCTCTTCCATGGGGAGGAATAAGCAAGTGGGTGAAGAAAGACTAAGCTGTTTCCTTTCGACAGTTTCCTCTTCTGTGGGGTGGAACAGGGAAGTAAATGTCATTGGGACATCGCACCCCAAGACCTCGTAAGGTTAGTTTGGTCCAACAAAAATGGCACAATGCCCAGGCTAGTGCTGTGTGTCGGGGGGTGGGGGTAGTCGCGGAAGGGGACATGTCTGAGTGTGGCACACCGTCTCATGGATGATTAGGGTGTTTCTCTCTGATCATTCCCTGGTGTAGACGGGGCTAGTGTAGTTCCGAGTGTTTAAGTTACCCCGGAGTGAGGGCTTGGGGTCTGTGTCATATTTGTTGAGATTCTCTGGGTGTGGGTTTGGACGCTGACAGCTGTGAAAACAGAATTGTTTCCTGGTTGGTTGTGTGTCTTTGTGGAGTGAGACCCTGGAGCCCCGTGGAAGAGGGAGGAGCAGATGGTGAGAAAGCCAGCCCCCAGCAGAGAATCCACTCTCCAGAGCACTGGCTCCCTGCCGCCTGCGTGCCAGGGAGCTCCCTGTGGCCTTTCCGTGTTCTCCCCACTTACCTGGCTAGAGCTGAAGTTGACCAGGATCTCCACTGGAGAGTCCCTGTGTCACCTCAGGGTAATCATTTTCCAGCGGCCCTGGGCAAGGAGCAGGGATGAGGTCTGCAGTGCTGTGGAAAGCATACAGGTACGTGCTAGTTAGCTGGTTTCTTTGTGGAGCCCAGAGTGAGGAAAAAGAAGGGAGCCTGGCTTTGTTTACTGCTTCAGAGCTCTGGGGAGAGTTCTTAACTCTAGTTAGGTTAAATGATGTCTAAGGAGTGCCCTCTAGGGTTCCTGAACTTTGGGGTACCATGCTTCAGCAGCTCTCCCCAATCTCTGGGGCCCAGTTCCATGGAGGGCATGCCATCCACCTTCTGGCTTCTTTAGGAGCCACAAGGAGGGGGGGCGGGGGGGCATGCATTTAGCATTCTGAGGAGCAGGATTGTCTTGTCCATAAAAAGAACTAGATTTCTACCACTTAGAACATTTTTCTGCCTCATAGGTCATTTCCAGTGAAGTTGGCTGTTCTCTGTCATGAGCTTACTTGAGTTTTAGATTAAAAAAATTTTTTTTATGTGGATTAATCCAGTCACCTGTAGCTAGGAAAGCAAACCAGCGCTTTGGGGCTTTGTAATCTGCGAAACACAGATGGATGAATTTTGGTTACTTTTAGTTAATCGCCTACCAGGAGCCATCACTACCTACTGCACCCCCAGTCTCTGTTGCAGCACAGCTAAAAAGGTCCTCCTGCCTTTGCAAGATCCCTAGAGGGAACGCAGTCTTCCATGCCCAAGCTGATACTGGGTCCACTGGGTGATCACCTGGGGAATTTGTCAAATGTAGATTCTCGGGCCCAACCCAGGCCTACTTACTGGAACTTCCAGAAATCTGTATTTAGAATAAGTCATTTTGATGTTGCCAGCTGCTCTCCTCAACACTGGTGACATCAGGGATCGGTCATTGCCCCATTTTAGTTGAGGATGCTGAGGCCCTGAGAGCCAGACACTTGCCCTGGATCAGGTCATGTGGCTGAAGGATGCAGTCTCTGCCCAAGGGCTCCTGGTCCTCCCTGCAGCCACCCTGTGTGCCAGGCTGTGTTCAGGCCTCTTGTGTGTCCTTGTGTCCAGTACTGTCCTTCTGTACCTGGGCTTTTGTTCATATGCGTTCTTGAAGGGGAAATTTGTGGAAGTGGTGTTCTGCGGGTGGGACTGGGAGGAGGGGATGGGGGCTTCTGGGTCTCTGACCCTCCCTGGCTGGGTTCTGAGGCCAGGCAGGCCAGGCGCTCCCAGCAGAGCCTTGACCACGCTCTCATCCCTCTTGGAGGGAGGGGGCGGGTGGATGGTGGTGTCCAGACTCTGCCTGTTGCTTCTGCTCTGTGGGAAGGATGGTTGAGCAGTCAGAGCACCCATTTCCAGAGGGATGTGGTTTTCATGTCCCTGCCCGGCACCACTTTCTCAGAACATGACAGACCAGTGGCCAGGCAGCCGAGGCCGCCTCCCAGGAAGGGGTTTTGCAGTGGCTGCTCCACAGCAAAGCGCAGAAGCTGGTCTCTTACTGGCAGTTGTGGGTGGGTGGTGGGCAGTCTCCCCACTGCCAGAGTAGCCTTGTTTGTCTTTGCCTTAGGCCCTCGGTTACATTCTGTTCCTCTCCTCACCCCAGGGAGTGAGAGGCCACAGGGGGCTGGGGGGCAGCTTGAGGCATCTCCCTCCTTCCCCACCTTTCAGGCACTGGGGGTCAAGGGGAGTTAGGGGTCCACCTGGGTTGCTACTGGGGTTCAAAAAGAGTGTAGTAAAGGTTGGCCAGATCCTTTAAGGGCACCCTCCTTTGTGTAGGCTTTGGGGGATGGACACAGATGAAAAAGAATAGCGCACACTTCACCCTGTGCAGTTCAGTGTTCTGTAATCTGAGCTTCACTGCAGCCCCAGGAGGCCAGAGCGGCCGTCCTGGTGGCTGGGTGGGCTTGGAGGGCAGGCCAGGCAGGGCGTGGAGGAGTGGGGTGAAGGCTGGCTTCTGTGGGTGCGCTGGAGCCCTCTGCCCAGCCCGGGATGCTTCGCCTTCCTCACCTCTTGAGGGCTGAGCTTGGGAGGTTGCCGCAGAAGACTTCAGATGAACGAATATGGCTTTTCCTTACCGGCCACAGTGAGATCACGTCCAGACCTGCCCTTTTATCTCTTCTTCCAGATGCAGCTCTCAGTGGTCAAGCCCTTGTTTCTTTGTTTGGTTCCCTCAACTCCTGGCCACTCTGCCCTGGGTGGTGGGATGAAATGACGTGGACTGTGGACCCTCCATCTTTGGTTCAGATCCTGGGCCCTGTTGTTTCTGTCTTGTCCTTGGGCAAGTCACATGACCTTTCTGAACTCCTGTTTCCTCCAGCATGAAGTGGGGAAATGAGTACCCAGCAGAGAGGGATAAGATAAATGTTCGGGAAGGTTCCCAGCCGAAGTCCTGGTGTTCAGGAGGAGACACTTTTTTAAAAAAAATCACCATTCTCCATTCTTCTAGGAATTCTCCTCTTAGTGTTTTGGCGGTCGGTGGAAAGTTGGCTTCACTTGATTTTTGTCTAACCTGTAGCCGGCATTGGTAGTAAACCTACGTGTGGACTAGTGAGAGAACACGGGAGATGTGCTGGGGATTTCTGGAGCCTGTGTGTGCGTCTTGCCTCTGCTCTTTCCTTGGGGCGCAGGTTTTGGGGAGATGTTTTGAAACTGAACCTGCTGCCTCATCACTGCCCTCCCCTTCTCTCCACAGATCCTGCTTCTCAGAAGATGCACTATTATAGATACTCTAACGCCGAGGTCAGCTGCTGGTACAAGTACCTCCTTTTCAGTTACAACATCGTCTTCTGGGTGAGTGGATGAGAGCAGCTGCGTTCCCTGGCTTAGTCCTAAATAGCAAATTGTGATTCTTCACATACTTCTGATTTGTCAGGCCCCCTGTGAGGCTCTGGAGGAGATGGTGGTCAGGGTTGATGAGTCCTGTCCTCACGAAACTAGCAACAAGTAAATTATAAAATAGACCATTAAGTGCTGTGATGGGAAAGGCCAAGAGGTGGCTGAAGACCAGATTAAGGGGCCCTACCCCAGCCTTGGGGGTTTAGTAAGGCTTGGGGCTCTGGCCCAGGAGCATGTCTGTGTCCCTCAACCCACACCCCAGGAATGCCCCAGTGAGACATCGGCAGCCAGGTCCTTTGTGTGCCCTGTGCTGGGCTCTGGGAGGTGAGAGTGGACAAGGGCAATAAAGCCCTGTCCTTGCTGTGCTTGTGGTTCAACCAGAAGGGGTGTTAGCCTACTGAGCCTCAGAGTGGGTAGGGAGAAGCCCCTTGGCCAAGGTGATCAGGGAAGTGCATTCCTAGGAGGTAGATTGTGGGCTGAGACTTGTGTACTAGTGAAAACGAAGCTATGTGGGATCTCAGGAAGAAAGCTCCTGGTAGGGGGAGCAGCATGTGCAAAGGTCCTGAGGCAGGAATGAGCTTGGCATGTGCAAGAGACAAAAAGAAAATCATGTGGCTGGAGCTGAATGAGTACAAGGTAGAGGAGACACAGGTGAGGACATGGGCATGAAGAAGCCAGTTCATGTAGGACTGTACGGTTCTCAGTAAGTAGCTGGAATTACCTTCTGCTTCTTTTAGTAGCTCTTGGTAGGATATAAGTTGGATGGTGTTTGATCTGATTTTGGAATGATTCTGCCGAGTGAAGGGATGGATGGTGGTCCCATGTTCAGAGATGGGATTTGGGGCAGAAGGGTTTGAATGGTCTCTTAGCCAGCCACATGGAGATGTCAGTTTCCTGTGCCAGTGGCCATCCTGGAAATGAATGTCTTGGCCACCATCAGAGGAAGTGGTGGACCAGACAAGATCCTAGGAGAGCACGGTGACTAAGAAGAGGAGGTCTGAATATTGAGTCGGGGATGCTAGAGGTGGGGTTGAGTAGGAAGGCCCACTCCAAAGTTGGCTCTGAGTGGGTGGCCTGAGGTAAAAGGAAGACCAGGACAGTTTATGTCATAGGAGCCTTGAGGAGGAAGCCCTGCAAGCAGAGAAGAGCAGGCAGCTCTGCCACAGGTGGGTGAAGTAGGAGGAGGGCAGAAACTTGGCTTTGATTTTGACCAGGTGGTGGTGGTTGTGAACTTGACCAGACCTGCTGGGGATGGAAACCCACCGGGAGTTGGCCCAGGAGCCAGTGGGACTTGAGGAAGTGGAAACCAGGGACTCGTGACAGTTCTTTCAAGGACTCTTGCCTTAAAGAGGAGGAGAGAAACTGGGCACTGGAGATGGTCGCGGGGTTAAGAGTGTGTCACTGAGGTTGGTCCAGGGAGAGGCAGATTGATTCAGTGCAGGAAGGCAAGGCGACATGGCCATGACCGTGCACGGAGGCTTTTAAAACCTCCATTTAATACCAGCCTCGTTTCTTGTGTCTGGGTCTGCACCTAGTGTCTGGGCAGGGGCAGATGGCGAAGGAGGGGCAGGATGAGTGGCCATGATGCCCCATTTACCTCTGCTATGGGTTTTGGCATTTCCTATTTGGACTGGAACTCTTGACAAGACAGACTTACCAAGACTTCTCAGCCTTTCACCCTTGAATTTTCCAGCATCACATCTCCTGATGATTTATCTCAAAGTTTCAGGGATTTTCTGTTCTGGAGAAATAGGGTGGGATTCAGTGGCTTGGCCGTTCACCCCAGGACTTCTCCGGTGCCCAGACAATTTTAATCAGCAACTTCATCATTGTCCCTGAAGTGGGGCAGTGCTGGATATTTGAGGTGGTTCCTGTGGGCCCTTCCTCATGGGAGGGCTGTGGCTGCCCCATCCCTGAGTTGTGTGGCTTCCTCGACCTGCATTGCCCCCTGTCTGGAGGAGAGCCCTCTGGCCCCACCTGGAGTCCCCAGCCCCCAACCAGGTGTACGGTTGACACTTTAGAAACTTGTCCACGCAGCTGTCGTGCCCTCACCAGCTGTGCTGGCTTGGCCTTGTACCCTAGCCTCTGACTCTCATCCTGATTTTTGCAGCTGGAGTGAAACTGCCCTGCTGCTGATCCTGTGGCTGAGGCCCCTGGTAATCTCCATTCCTTCAGAGCCTTTCAGAACAGATTCTTTGCTCTTGGGAAGCGTTTACGTTCACAGCACCAAGTTCAAATAGCGGAGTTCGTGAATCCAGAGTGGTAGCAAGTCTGCTCGGTGACTGAAGGGTGCTGCAGTGTTATCAGAGTTTTGCAGAATTGGCAGTGTGTGTGGTCGAGAGTTAATCATTTTTCAGTTCGTGTGCACTGGGGCGGAACAGGAAGGGACAAAAAGGAACAGTCAGGAAAACGAGTCATGAGAGCTTGGTTGGGAAAACGAGATGGGGAGGCTGCCCGGCCCCTCCCTGCTGGGTTCTTGGCTACGATTTGCTGTCTTCATCTGCACAGGAGCTGGGAATGTGGAATGAGGCCTGAGACTTGGGGTGCAGAGCCCTCCGGGAAGTGCACGGTGCAGCGGGGGTGAGGGAGGGTGCACCTGGGTGCCAGTCTGGACTCTCACCTGAGCTGAGCAACCTTGATAAGCCTCAGTGTTTTTGTGAAATACTGTTCTCACTTGCCTGCTGCCTGCCTCTCAAGGTTGCTAAAAATGTGTAAAATGATATGCCAAACGCTTACCGCCTTAGAAGAATTTTATTTATTTATTTACTTACTTACTTACACTTATGTCTATATTTATTTATTTATTTACTTTTTAACGGAAATACTGGGGATTGAACCCAGGACCTTGTGCATGCTAAGCAACATGCTTTACCACTGAGCTATGTCCCCCCCCCCCGCCAAAAGTTTTCTTTTTTAAATGGAGAAAAATACAAAAGTAGAACAATATAATGAACCTCCCACCCACTGCCGCCATGTTTCCATCACCTGGCTTGAAAAATTACCAACTCAGCCGCTTTTATTAAATTTATATCCCCTGCCCTTTGGATTATTTTGAAGCAAATCACAGATAGATTGTTTTGCACAGCGTTTTCGTATTTGTTTGGTTTTGATGAATTCACAGTGAGCAGTGGAGCAGAAGGGTGGCAGTGTTGATGGTGGACTTGGGCTCGGTAGGCAGGTTTGAATATGCAGAAGCAACCTGTTGATTCTTTGACCAATTCTAGATGCTGGAACAAGCAGAGGTTTTATTTAGCCGTTTGCGCCTTCCAGAATTATTAGCCCAGTAACATTTTTTATGGCAAACATCTATAGCAGTACAATTTTTTTAAAGCTGTCTCCTTCCAACTTCAGGGCTGAGATTTTTCCAAGGGACCTTTAATACCGGCTCAGGGCAAGAAATGTGGACGCCCCTGATGTTGGTGTCTGCTCTGAGCTGCATGTTTCACTGAGTGAGTGTGGAGCTGGGCTTCATGGGGTCTCATCACAGGGACGCCAGGGAAACACTGCCAACACAGCATTTTGAGGACACTAACACTTTACCTTGTTTTGTTTTGTTGGTTGGTTTGTTTAAATTATAATCATTCCTTGGTTGTGTTAGCCTGTTTCTAGGACAGAATCTCCCTTTGACCTAGGGAAATGCAAATCAAAACCACAATGAGATACCACTTCTTACTCATTAGAGTGAGTATTATTAAAAACCAGAAAATAACAAATGTTGGGGAGGATGTGGAGAAATTTGAATCCTTGTGCACTGTCGGTGAGACTATAAAATGGTACAGCTGCTATGGAAAAAACTGTGGCAGTTCCTCAAAAAGTAAAAAATAGAACTACCATATGATGCAGCAACTCAACTTCTGTGCATGTGCCTAGAAGAACTGAAAGCAGGATCTTGAAGACATATTTGCACACCCTTGTTCACAGCAGCATTATTCACAACAGCCAAGAAGTAGAAGCAACCCCAACATCTAGCGAAGGATGAGTAGATAAACAAAATATGGTCTATGCATGCAACGGAATATTATTCAGCCTTAACAGTGAGGGAGATTTCTACATATACTACAACATGGGCGAACCTTGAGGACATTATGCTGAGTGAAATAAGCCAAACACAAAAGGACAAATACTGTATGATTCCATTTACATGATGTACCTGGAGTAGTCAGATTCAGAAACAGAAAGTAAAATGGTGGGTGCCAGGGGCTGGGTGGGGGAGGGGAAAATGGGAAGTTACTGTTTAATGGGGACAAAGTGTCAGTTTTTGCAACATGGAAAGAGCTCTTTTGGTGGATGGTGGTGATGAGTTCACAAAACCGTGAATGTATTTAACGCCTCTGAGTAGCACACTTAAAAATGGTTAAGATGGTTTTTTGTTTTTTTGTGGGTTTTCTTTTCTCCATTTTTAAAATTGAAGTATAGTCAGTTTACAATGTGTCAATTTCCGGTGTACAGCGTAATGTTTCAGTCAAACATACATATGTAATTTCTTTTCCATATTCTTTTTCATTATAGGTTACTGTAAGATATTGAATATAGTTCCCTGTGCTGTACAGTATAAACTTGTTGTTTTTCTGTTGTATATATAGTAGTTAGTATCTGCAAATCTCAAACTCCCAGTTTATCCCTTCCCATCCCCAAGATGGTACGTTTTATATTATGTGTACTTTACCATGATTAAAATTTAAAAAAAAAATCTCACTTTGACTTGCAGAGGGAGGGAAGCTGGGAGTTGTATACAGCCTTTGTCTTTGTTATTCTCACCCTAGCTGGTTCCACAAAGAATTCTGAGCTTCCCTGGTTTTGCTGAGTGAATCCTCTCAAGGGATGATTCCGATGATGCCTGCAACTCCAGGATTGCTTCCCACCACAAACACTGAGTTTAATCTGCAAAGGTCCCAATAAAGCCCTTGCCTGGATCTATTTCAGAGAGGGATTAAAAGTGAAGAACCAAGGCCGCC